TCCTCTCAGTGCGGTACAGCGAGCTCTACTGCCTGTCCTTCAACCCGAACGCCAACAAGGAGGAGCGCGAGGAATCCTGGAGCTTCATCGACCTGAAGGCCGACTACAGGAGGATGGGCGTTCCCAACAACCTGTGGGTCGCCACGGCAGCCAACAGCGAGTATCGGGTCAGCAGAACCAGAACCCTGCAGCTGCTCTCACATCAGCACAGAGAAGCTCATAGATCAGAGGTTTTGATTCCAGAACCAGGAAGAACAAACCGGGTCAAATTGTAATTTTACACACATTCTTTCAAAAATGAAAAACAGATTTAGATGAATTTTGATAAAACAATAAATATCAGCTGCTTGGTCAGAAGCAGAAGTGGAACTAAATGGGTTTTAGTCCAGAACCATCAATCTGATCTGCAGGGAGGACGTTTAACATGTCAGCAAGTTTATTATCCGCATGGAGTCAGATTCCCTGTAAACAGCTGATAAAGCCTGAACTCGGTACGATAAAACTGAAACTATGACTGTCACAATAAAACCTAAACTAAAACTGAACAATATTTAATAAACACGAGCAAACACACTAAGATTAGAACTCGTGACTGCCAACATGTCTCTGATTCCTGGTGTGTGTGTGTGTGTGTGTGTGTGTGTGCGTGCGCGCTGCAGGTGTGTGACACGTACCCCGCTGAGCTGTTTGTCCCGAAGTCGGCCACGCCCGCCGTCATCGTGGGCAGCTCCAGGTTCAGGAGCCGAGGTCGCTTCCCGGCTCTGTCCTACTTCCACCAGGACACACTGGTCAGTGGTGCACACACAAACACACACACACACACACACACGCTTTCAGCATCAGCAGCTGCACGTTGCGCCCTGCAGGCGGCAGTGTGTCGGTGCAGCCAGCCGCTGTCAGGGTTTAGTGGCCGCTGCCAGGAGGACGAGCTGATGCTGCAGGCGGTGATGAAGGCAAACCCAGGAAGTGAGTTCATCTACGTGGTGGACACCCGGCCCAAGGTAACACTCACACTCACACACACACACGCTGTGAGGGCCGCTACAGCCTGTGTGTGTGCAGCTGAACGCCATGGCCAACCGCGCGGCGGGGAAGGGCTACGAGAGCGAAGACCACTACTCCAACATCCGGCTGCTCTTCATCGGCATCGAGAACATCCACGTGATGAGGAGCAGCCAGCAGAAGATCCTGGACGGTGCGTGGCGCTCTGCCGGCGTCGCAGCACTCTGCTGCCCCCTGCCTGCCCTCATGTAGCGCTGCTCTTCTTCTCCTGCTGTAGTGGGGGAGATGCGCGCGCCATCCATGACCGACTTCCTGTGGGGGCTGGAGAGCTCCGGCTGGCTGAAGCACATCAAGGCGGTTCTGGACGCCGGCGTCTTCATCGCCAAGGTCTGAATTAACCAATAAGGAGAGAGCGTGAATACCTCCATCATCTCACTCAGTTTTACTCTGTATCCTCTGGTTCTGACCCGATTCTGGTTCTGACCCAGGCCTGGTTCTGACCCTGTCCGTGTCTCTCTGTCCAGGCTGTGGCGGATGAAGGTGTCAGCGTTCTGGTCCACTGCTCAGACGGGTGGGACCGGACGGCCCAGGCCTGCTCTGTGGCCAGCATTCTGCTCGACCCGTTTTACAGAACCATCAGAGGATTCATGGTACCGGTCCGAATCCCGCTGGCTTCAGAATTATCCTGCAACTCCTCCTGACCCGCTCTTTCTCCTCCAGGTGCTGATCGAGAGGGACTGGGTCTCTTTTGGACACAAGTTCTCTCATAGGTCAGTGAGCCGAACCGGATCAGGATCAGAACCAGGAAGCTCTAAAACCAGGACTGGATTCTTCCTGCATGGTTCTGTCCGCGGGTAGCTCTCAGTGTGTGGCCCTCTGCAGGTACGCCCACCTGGACGGCGACCCGAAGGAGGTGTCCCCGGTCATGGACCAGTTCCTGGAGTGTGTGTGGCAGCTGTCGGAGCAGTTCCCCTGCGCCTTCCAGTTCAACGAGCGCTTCCTGGTGGCCGTCCACTCCCACGTCTACTCCTGCCAGTACGGCACCTTCCTGGGCAACAGCGAGAAGGAGCGCCGGGACATGAGGTACTGCCGAGCCCGCCCGGGTCCGCCTGTGCTACGGTTCCTGGAGGCTCTGGGACCAGCCCGTTTCATGGTGGTTCTGCTTTGGTCTCCAGGCTCCATGAGCGCAGCCACTCGGTGTGGCCCCAGCTGTGGTCGGAGCGGACCCGGTTCTCCAACCCGCTCTATAAGGCCGAGCTGAGCCAGAGTCAGGGTGTGCTGAGGCCCAACACCTCCCCCTACTGCTTCAAGTGAGGAACTGCGGCTCTGCCAGGAGTGTTACTGTCTGAATGGATGGAGCGGCGGGTTAACGGTGCTGCTTCTCTCCAGGATGTGGAAGGGCCTCTACAGCCACCTGGAGAAGGCCACGCCCCCTCGACAGTCACCTGCCGACTTCCTGTCTGCCGTCAGGGAGGAGTCCCAGCAACTGGAGGAGGAACTGACCAATCAGCAGGAGGTACCGGCCGGAGGGACCGCCCACCACTCCGAACAAGGCATACAGCACACAAACACACCTTTAACACTGAGCTTCAGCATGGGCAACAGTCAGAACCCAGCAGCTGGACCCGACCAGCTGCAACGGTTTTCAAAATAAAGTTCAGTTTGTTTTAGTAGTGGAAAAATATCTGGATAGCCAAACAATGAAATCTATACATCCAAGTCCTCATTAATGCACACTGATGTACTCTGAATCATTTTTATAAGAAATTCATTTAAAAACGCGCATAATTATTACACTCTACTTATTTTTTTTAGGAAAATAGTTTTATGTATTTTTATGGGGTTGATAGTCTGACGCCAACCAGAATGTCACAAACGCTAAACTGACAATTCAGATTTTTTACCGATATCCGATTTTTACAAGTGATCGTTTATGCTACTAATTAAACACGCAGAAGAAGAACATAGTCGTCTTCTGGCAGTAAAGATGGCCGCCGCAGCGGACTGCTTATGACAGTAGAGATGGCCGCCTAAACGGTACCGGGACAGCAGCTGTTTCTCAAATTGGATCTAGTTCAGGTATCAGGTTCTCATGCTGGTACTCATCATCCAGGTTCTTTTGGGTTTTTAAAGAACGTGTGGTTCTGACCGATTCCGTTTCCTCTGTGTAGTTCTGATAGTAGAACCTCTATGTGTGGTTCTGTCTGCAGAGGCTGGCAGCGCTCACCGGGGAACCAATCAGGTGGGAGAGGACAGTGGCGGCGCGGAGGAGCAGTAACCGCCTCCCCATCACAGACAGTGGGCCGGACCCGCCCACCCGCTACTCTGGACCAATCGGCAGCTCCGAATCAGCCAATCAGAGCGCTCAGAGAGTAGACTCTGCCCCCTCTGGGTCGCCGAGGAGTCCGGACGCGGAGGACGACCTGGAGTCGGGCGTGGCCGATCTCAGCAGCCGCTCGTCCTGTGGTGGCGAAGACGGCAAGGACCCCGAGCTGGACTGAGGCTGTCCACGCTGCGCCGATTGGAAATAAGGGAAAACCAGAACCGGACCGCTGGATCCGGGTCAAAAACCACCCCTCATATAAACTGGTCGACTGGTGCTGCTTTATTGATTTAGATAAATGATGTTGACCGCTGTGGGAGGAGTTAACTCACAGCAATGCTTCAGATCTGGATCAGTCTCCATGACAACAGAGCCAGGTATGTTCAGCTGCTCCTCTCCGGATCCTACAGGACAGCTAAACCTGGCTCACAGAGAAACAGCCCATAATATGAACCCAAGATCACCATGGAGACGGAACCAGCAGAGATCACCATGGAGACGGTAACAGACCCTCCTGCTGGTTCTTCACAGCTTTGATTGGTGGTTTTATTTAAAACTGTAAAAGTTTTCACACCCCAGTGGAGCAGATCTATGTTTGCAGATGTATGTCAGTAGCTCTATGTCTTTAGATCTATATATGTTGCTCTATGTTGTGTTTTCAGAATAAAAGCTCAGATTCTCAGCTCCTTGGAAAACCTGGAACTGGACTCGGTTCACGTCTCCATGGCAACTCACTGCTGTAGTTTCTCCCTTCACCAACAACTCTGAGGACATGAAGACCTGGACCCGCCTCTTCCTCAGAACCCGGACCGGTGGTCGGTTTTGTATCGCCGACATTAAATAATCAATAAAGTTCTAATGAAGCTCTGATGTTCAAACAGAGATCTTCTCCAGAATGAATGATCCAGAGTGACTAGACAGAACCAGAACCTTCAGAACGGCCCCGGATCCTCCTCACTACAACAGCAGAATAGCAGAACCCTCCCTCTTTGGCCTACAGAACCAGGTCAGAGGTGAAAGTTGCATCACATCAGGAAGAGCGGCCAGCAGACACGGTGACCCGAGTCGGACCGCTGCTGGGTCGGACCGTTCTGCGTCCGTCAGAAAACAAACAGATCAATGAGGAAAAATCTCTCTGGTTCCAGAACCACGGAACCCATTTAAAGGTTCAGGTTCTTTGACAGAACAGGTTCCTGCTACACCACAAGTTCCACAGATACTGACTGCTACGCTTTACTCTGGTCATTTTCCACAAACTGCTGCAGAGATCTGGGCTCAGATACAGAACCAGAACCAGACGGTCCAAATGTAACCTGACGTGAACTGGTCCGGATCCGAGGAATCGCTGTTAATCATCCACGGTGTTCCTCAAGGCTGCATTGTTATCCCACTTTTATTATAAATTAAATAGTACAAACATCTGAAGGAAGCCTTATTAAGTATAAATTTGTATTTTAGACTGAAGTTTCTTCTGCCTGAAAACCAGAGATGATCAGAACCTTTTGGTTCTGACCCGACATTTAGCTGACGATCCATGAAGATTTTTATCATCTCTTTGATTTTTAGTCGTTTTAAATTCAGTTTTTTTCTTTATTGAGAATGTTTTGGAAATAATTGTTCATGCGACCAAAACCTTCTGGAGGTTCTGGAGAAGAACCCAGAACCGAAAACAGAAGCATTATTTCCTGTTTTATTGAGTTTCCAGCTTTTACAGTTCAGGAACATCAGACCAGGTTTCCCAGCTGGTCCCAACCACCGAACCGGACCAGAGAAATAAAAAAAAAAACTAAAATCTTCTGCAAGTTCTCATGCAGAAGGTCCAGTTCAGGCTGTTGCGCCCCCTTCAGGAGAAGAACAGTTCCTGGCAGAGCCGCTGCGTCTCCTCGGGACTCGACACCTCGTGGCCAACGGTCCGCGGGTCGCTGTAGATCTCAAAGTCGTTTCCTCCCTGCAGGGGAGCAAGGAGCAGCAGGAGGTCAGGAGTTCTGCTGCGGAACCGGACCGGTCCAAACCAGACGACAATTCAACCAGAACAGAATCAACAACTAGAAAAAAATAATTAAAATGTAAATTTTTCATAAATGAGAATCTGAAGGTTTCAGCTCCTTTACTCAGAACCCTCTAAAAAACCCAAAAAGACGTTCAGAATCTGGAGAGGTTCTGATTCCACAGAACCCAGCAGCAGAACGTTCTGGAGAGGCTTAAAGCAGTTGTACCACATACAACCCTGCACATGGTTGTGGCAGCATCATGCTGTGTGAAGATGGGTGGTATTATGGGATTGTTTAGATCAGAGCAGGGTTAGGAAGGCCTAGTCAAAGTCCAGACTCAGAATCAGTGTGTGGACTTTATGAGCTGCTGAAGAGAAACAGCAGCAGTTTGGTCTGCAGAGCTCTGACCATAAAGGCACACCACACTTTTCAGATTTTTATTTTTTAAAATGTTGAATCATTTTTCGTTCTGTTGGTCTGAAGCTTCGAAGCTCAATAAGATCCGGTTTGAAGAAATGGCAACATGCTTCTTAATTAGTAGTAATGTTCCAAATGTTGAAGCTGTTCCTGTAACACCTTCAGATCGAACCGGAGCGGACCTAAACCGGATCAG